GACAGTGCTGGCAACGGCCTGAGCCCAGAGCCTGAGGTGCGTCTTGACGTCCCAGGGGGGGTTCTGCGGGTTGGCAAACGACCATCGAAGCGCTTCAAAAGCAGCAAGCGCAGCACAGCACGGCGGTTAGCACGTCTGTCTGACGGTGCTGGCAACGGCCTGAGCCCAGAGCCTGAGGTGTGTCTTGACATCCGAGGGGGGGTCTTGTGGGTTGGCAAACGACCACTCCGCATCCAGGCTGCCACTCACCCCCCTCTGCCCCTGCCGCTGCTGCTCATGCTCTGGACTATGCCCATGGCTATGGCTCCTGACGCAGGTAGTGCTGGTGGTGGTGCTGATGAGAGATGGGATGTGGCGTGGGGACGATGGCATGGAGCTGCCTCGCTGCTGCTGGGGATGAGAAATGGGGGGAATGCGGGAGGAGAGGGAGGAAGGAGGGGAAAAAAGCTGGGGATGATTAGTCAGATAAACCATCGAACAAAACTAGGCAAAACAAACGACAGCCCATGAATGCGAGGCGTAAGCCATTCAGGCTAGCGGCCGTACCATGGCATGGGGTTCAGCCGAGCGAGCGATAACGAACGGGTCCCCAGGGAAGCACGAGATCCGTGGCGACGAGGTACCGCTGCCAACCCCCACTGCCACGCTGCTGCCCGCGGCAGCACCACCAGCAGCAGCCCCCGCACCACCAGGCGACAACCCGCCGGGATACAGGGTTGCAGCAGCCCCATCCGCATCTGTAGCAGGAGAGGTTGTAGCGGGAGCGACGTGGTGATGGTGGCGGGAGATGAGTCTCTGCTGAACGCTCCCCACGGCGTGATACAGGCGCAGCGCGGGCAGCGTGGCGGTCATGCGCGCGCTCATGTCCGCCTGGCGGAAGTTGAATCCCAGATCCATGAACCCCCGGAGCTCCTCCACGTCAGCCTCTGTCAGGCTTCTTGCACGCGCGGAGGGCGTCAAGGGGAGCCCATCTCCCCCCTCTGCGTCCGCTTCCGCCTCATATGCGCCTTGGCGCAGCGAGCTGTTGCGCTCGTACTCCGCCGAGTCATAATCGGACACACTCCGCGTGCGCAGATACCGCGGTTTCCCCGCGCTTCTGCTTCCGCAAGCCGCATTCTCCGTTTCCGCCGCCCCCGTACCTCGCTCTGACCAGCGGAAAGGGGGAGATGGGTGAAACGCCGAGAAATGCTCCCCACCGCTCCCCCGCCTCTCCGCGTACGCCCCCCGCCCGGACGAAGCGTAAGGGGAGGTAGTGCGCTCGTAGCATTCGCCGTCGCTGCTTCGCGTCTCTATTGAATCCCGCTGTTCTTCGTCCGTCGGAAGCGGAGGATGCGGAGGCATCGACACGCGTCTTGACATGCGCGCCGCGTCGAGGCTGCTGCTTCGCTTCGGTCGCCGCCTGCTTCCCGAACGGCCGCGACGGCGCCGGTACTTTCCGAAGCTGCCTTCAGGGTCAGGCTCGGGACTGCCAGACCTGGAACAACCGCTTGGTTCGGACACAGCCGAAGCACCCCCGCTGATTCGGTCATCAGCCGCCGCGCAAGCACACTCCGCTGCCGCACCACCTGCGCCTTCGCGGAAGTTGCTGGCGGAACTCGGAGCGTTTAAATCCACGTGCGCACAAGCAACCCTCCCCGTTTCAGTGACCCCTGGAAGCGCATCCCCGTTATCAGCATCCTCTGTCTCGTTAACCGCTTCCTGGATTGTGGTTAAATCGGAATCGTGGGGCCAAGCGGCGACATTGCTGGAGAACCATCCTTCGTCGAGCAACTCAAGCAGCGAGCCTCCCACTGCTGACACGCCGGCACGAGACGACGGCTGCTGCTGCTGCTGCTGCTGAAGGCGCTTGGAACCCAGGGACGCGAAAGGCAGCAAGCTTAAGAAAGAGCGGGAAGGGGGAGGCGTGTCAGAAAGGGTAGCAGGTGGTGTGGTGTCAAAGAACGAAGAAGATTTCGATGCGTTCGCTGGAGGAATGGCGGATTTGACAACAGGAGAGGCGCTGGTACTGCTGCTCCTGCTGCTCACATCAGCGCCGACTCCGTCGCTGCTCCGGGAATCGCGGGAGCAGCTTTTATTGGGAGATCCAGCTAGAATAGGACCGTTACTCATTAAGCCTTTAATCGGAAGTGGTGTATGACGTAAAATTAATGATAACGGGTGCCTTAGAGTCTTTATTTATAAGAAATTATGTAAGTCAATACTAAGGTAACGACAATGACAGCGCGCTGATTTACAGGCGAAGGCGAGGATGTTTTAACTTCAATATTAAGGTTAAATATTAAAGAAGTCACTAAAAGGAAAGCCGTACAGCCATGATGAATCGCGTTAACAAATATATTAAACCGCTGAAATAGTAAGGCGCATGGAACTACCTCTGAAGCATAACCCACTCACGACGACCCCAGCAGCCAAGGCAGACACTAGCAGATTCCTCCTACCTACAAGATGCCAAGGACTCTCCCAACAAAGCGAACTCCTTCAAGCTAAATAACTTCTATCCTCACTGGCTCCTGTTTCCTGGGGTCGTGCGAGTCGGATGACCAGTGCTCCCAAGGACTAGCAAAAAGGAGTGTGCTTGCTTGTCCGCCTGATGCAGGTGCTGTTCAGCCAGCGGAACTGAGATTTGCGGGCAGCTCAGCAGCGCCGCCTTCCTTCCTCCCCTCCCCTCCCCGCCCCTTTCACTTTCCCCCCACCCCATTTACTCTATCCGCTTCCGGCGATTGCGCGGACAGCAAGGCAAAATACACCAGGCAGGCTTGGGGGAGGTGGTTGGGGAAGAATGATGCGCTCCGCTCTACATTCGCTCTGGTTCAGGGAGACATCTTCCGCCGATGTGGAATTGAACCCACAACGGAGTTTCCGATGGAAGAAGTTGGTTGGTCGGACCCCATCATGGGGGACGCAAAGGCCAAGCGCATGACATGGCTGGTGCGGGAAAGCGTTTTTGGGCAGTTCGCGCTGCCTTCGGAGGTGTGTGAGTGGTTGCTCAATATTGACAGGTGACTGAGGGCGGTTGGCGCTGATTTAGGTCCTACGTGGCGTGTCAGGAATCGCTGTTATCCATGCTGGATGATGCATGGATCTGGGACGACGCTCGAGAAAAAGCAATGGAGTGTTTGCTTTTTTCATTGGGCAGGAGTTTCGGGCATCGGAGGGGTATGGGATATTCGCCGAGACATGATCTCCACCATTGCATAATCAGGAAAGCATCATCGTCAACCGTTCAGCACACTGTGGTAACCTTCAACGGTGCCACGCAGGACAAGTAGACTGGTTTGCTGACCACAATGTGCTTTCCTGGTGCTTTCTCGCTCTGACGTTGTGCCAGCATGGATATGAGGAGTCGTGACTGCGACGCGGAGAGTTGGGGCTCAGCGCGTGCCTTGAACCCACAGATTTCGCGCTTCTTTCTACACAGGTGACCGTACTGAAATATTTCTTTGCGGTTGATATTACCCTGTTTTCAGCAACACTTGTCCGCATGTTTCCTAAAAACGACATGCATTTGGGTGCTTACAGTGCTCGTAATGCGAGATACTGTATCCCCCATTCAACACTAAACATTTTCTCACATCTGTGTGCTGGTTCCCACGTTCCGCTGCTCTCACTCACACGGGAGAGTCAACTACTGTCCACAAGGAACGTGCCACCTGGAAAGAGGTGTATCCGCCAATGATACGAATCCGCGTGTCATCACTATGCAACCAACCATGCGTGTCGGTCTGGTTCTGGAGGGCGTTGCTCCATCGGCCCGATTGCCTCGCCTATGAGCAACCTCCTTACGTATTCATGTGATCACTATTTAACCCTCCCTTCTTAAGCTCATAAACCATGTTCACAACCTACCAGTTCCACTATTCATGAATTTCTACAAACAGCATTTCACCACGTCAGGTTGGAGGAATGATTAAGATACGGATGAAAAAATATTATTTGGGTTAAAATGTGGACGCAGATTGTTTAACATATGGTATTGTCTCATTTATGTGAATATTATAACCAAGAAATTTTTTAATCCAAGAGTTGAAAATATAAATAAATTTCGAATGATATATTGCTGGTTTGAGATATTCAAGACTTCTGGTTTGCTGGTTTGAAATATGCTATAAGATTTCCAGATCCTCTAACACATTCGACTCCATTCACTGTAGAATGATAGCCTTCACCACATCCTCGTCACTGCATCCAGCGCTTTGAGCAACATCAAGCCCCTGCTCTTGAACCGAGCCAAGCCAACCCTTCACGTCAGAGGCAGAGGCAGTGATGAGGGCTTGTTTACAGGTCATGCATCGAAGTTCGGCCAGGTTATAAGCGGTTCAAGTCGGTGATTCTATAGAAACTCTCCAAATTGCACAGCATCGTGCCCAACCGTTTCTATGCAAGAACGACACTGCTTTGCAGCACATCAAACTAACATCCTTTCATCAGTACCTGTCAGCCATGGCGTCTGCTTCACATCACGTTTGCTAATCCCAGCATCACAGCAAGCACTTAGTGACTTCTGACCTCCTTGTTATTGCTGTTCCCTTTCCTATCCTAACCGCCGCGCCTCCGTAAGCCTGAACAATGAAGGCGGAGTGAAAACTGCATCCATGAAAGCAGGTTGAAGGCTGTACGAATAAAAGTAGGAACTCGATTTCGTTTCACCCGTGACATAGGCGCGTAGGAACGCAAAAGGAGGGTTCGGAGTTCTGGTTTTCGTGGTGTTTTCTGCTGCCGTCACTGGCAAGGGCGTAGCGTAGTCACACATCAGCATAGTCCACGTCTTATCCACGCATAACTGAAATTCGTGTGCCTGTCGAGATAATAAGTGCGAGCAACACCATCGTGCGGAGAAGCCACCGTCTTCGCCTCCCTGAATCGGCTCAAACAACCACCCTCCTGGCGGATACACCGTGAATTGACATCTCCACCGTTCTCAACCGCATCGTCATCACCTCCGCCATAACCATCGCCAACCCCACATCCTCGTCCCCCTCCTCCTCCCCGAGTCGCCCGCCATGAATCAGCCGCGTCGCAAGTCGGCGTTCCGCATCGAGCCGTTTCGGCACAAGGTGGAGATGGACCCGCGATACGCGGAGAAGACGTGGGGCATTCTCGAGGACGCCATCCACCAGATCTACAACCACAACGCCTCGGGGCTCAGCTTCGAGGAGCTCTACCGGTACGCCTTTTATCCTTCTAGAGGTGCCTCGTCCCTCCCTCCGTTGCTCCCTTCCTCGACGTGCGGCATTCCCAACTCGAGAATCTCGAGACCGCATCCACCGCATCTACAACCACAACGCCTCGGGGCTCAGCTTCGAAGAGCTCTACCGGTACGCCCTCGTTAGAGGAACGCCTTCGTTAGAGGTACGCCCTCCCTCCTTCTCGAGGTGCCGCCTTCCTTCCTTGTTGCGGTGCCTCCTCCCTCTCTTTCTCCCTCCCTCGGCGTGCGGCATTCTCGAGGACGCCATCCCCCGCATCTACAACCACAACGCCTCGGGGCTCAGCTTCGAAGAGCTCTACCGGTACATGTGGCCTCCCTGTGTCGCCCTCGTTAGAGCGCCCTCCCTCCCTCGTCGTGCGGCATTCCCGAGGACGCCATTCGCCGGTCTACAGCCACACTGTTTCCGGCCTCAGCTTCGAAGAGCTCTACCGGTACGCGCCTTCTTCCGCCCTGCCTCCCTGGCTCCTCGCATCTGACAATTCACCCTTCCCAGAGCTCCACCGTTACGTGCAGCCTCCTCAGTTTCGAAGAGCTCTACGCCACGCTAAGTACTCTCTCTTTCTCTCTCTTTCTCTCTCCCCTCCCGTTATCTTCTCTTTCTCTCTCCCCTCCCGTTATCTTCTCTTTCTCTCTCCCCTCCCGTTATCTTCTCTTTCACCCTGACAGTTTCGAAGAGCTCTACGCCACGCTAAGTACTCTCTCTTTCTCTCTCCCCTCCCGTTATCTCTCTCTTTCATTTTTCTCCCCCTCACAGCAACGCATACAACATGGTGCTGCATAAGTACGGCGGCCGCCTGTACGCGGGGCTGGTGGTGGCCGTGCTAACAGTGTCTACCTCCTCTCTCCAACTTTGTCTCTTCCGCCACCACTACCCCCATCCCCCATCCATACAACATGGTGCTGCATAAGTACGGCGGCCGCCTGTACGCAGGGCTGGTGGTGGCCGTGCTAAGCGTGTCTTTCTCTGTATCCTGTCACCCGCCGTGCCTTCCCGCCCACCTTGCAGCAACGCGCACAACATGGTGCTGCACTGCACAAGTACGGCGACCGCCTGTACGCGGGGCTGGTGGTTGCGGCGCTAACAGTGTCTACCTCCTCTCTCTCCCTTTGTCCGTCTCCCGTTCCCACTCACAGCAACGCGCACAACATGGTGCTGCACTGCACAAGTACGGTGACCGCCTGTACGCGGGGCTGGTCTGGTTGCTGCACTCACGGCTGTCTTTCCCTCCCTCTCTGTGTTTACCCATCTATGTTTCCCCCGCCAACCAGCAACGCGCACAACATGGTGCTGCACTGCACAAGTACGGTGACCGCCTGTACGCGGGGCTGGTGGTGGCCGTGCTAAGCGTGTCTTTCCGCTGTTCCTCCCTCTGTCTCCCCCCTGTGTCACAGCAACGCGTACAACATGGTACTCCATAAGTACGGTGACCGCCTGTACGCGGGGCTGGTGAGCACCATGACGGCGCACCTCAAGGGCGTGGCGGCGGCTATAGAGGCCGCCCATGGTCCTCTGTTCCTCAACGAGCTGGATGCGAGGTGAGGGGGGGATAGAGAGTGATGCGAGGTGAGACAGCAGGCGGTTTGGCAGGCCTGCCTCTCTTTATGCAGGGCTGGTGAGCGCCATGACATGACAGCGCACCTCAAGGGCGTGGCGCCTGCTATAGAGGCCGCCCATGGGCCGCTGTTCCTCAACGAGCTGGATGCCAGGTGGGTGTGAGGGTGTGACGCGAGGTAAGGGGTGGTGACACAGCAGGCTGTGAGGTGGGTTAGGCCCTCCTGTACGCGGGGCTGGTGAGCACCATGACGGCGCACCTCAAGGGCGTGGCTGCTGCCATAGAGGCGGCGCACGGCCCGCTTTTTCTCAACGAGCTGGACGCCAGGTGGGTGCGGAGTGAGCTTGAGACGCCAGGTAAGGGGTGGTGCTACAGCAGGCTGTCAGGTGGTTAGGCTCTCGCCTGTACGCAGGGCTGGTGAGCACCATGACGGCGCATCTTAAGGGCGTGGCTGCTGCTTTTGAGGCGGCGCATGGGCCACTGTTCCTCAACGAGCTGGATGCGAGGTGAGGGGGGCACGTGAGGTGGTGAGAGGTGACGCAGCAGGCTGTCTGGTGGTTAGGCTCTCGCCTATATGCAGGGCTGGTGAGCACCACGACGGCGCATCTTAAGGGCGTGGCTGCTGCTATTGAGGCGGCGCATGGGCCGCTGTTCCTCAACGAGCTGGATGCCAGGTGAGGGGGCAACAATGGGTGGTGGTGACATGGCAAACGGTGGGGCTGGTGAGCACCACGACGGCACATCTTAAGGGCGTCGCTGCTGCCATTGAGGCCGCGCATGGGCCGCTGTTCCTCAACGAACTCGATGCGAGGTGAGGGGAGAGTGAGAGAGGAGACTGTGTGTGATGCAAGGTGACACAGCAGGCTGTCTGGTTGTTAGGCTCTCGCCTATATGCAGGGCTGGTGAGCACCATGACATGACGGCGCACCGCAAGGGCGTGGCGGCTGCTATTGAGGCCGCCCATGGGCCTCTCTTCCTCAACGAGCTGGACGCCAGGTGAGGGAAATGAGGTGGAGAATGAGTGTGATGTGTGCATGAGTGTGATGTGTGCATGAGTGTGATGCCCGTCGCCTCTATGAGGGGCTGGTGAGCCTAAACCATGACGGCGCACCTCAAGGGCGTGGCGGCGGCCATAGAGGCGGCGCACGGCCCGCTGTTCCTCAACGAGCTGGATGCCAGGTGGGTTTCTATAGAGGTGCGGGGTTAGATAGAGGTAGGTGGTAATACGAGGAGAATGAGGTGCGTGGGTGCTTGTGCTGCTCTGTTCAGGTGTGCGCTGGTGCGTGCATGCTTCATCCTGGTGGGTTGGTTTGACAGCTGCGATGCTCACACATACCCTAGCCTCGTCCTGTACCTCTATTTAGATGATCCGAGACATACGCATGTACATGGCCCGCACCCACCCTTATGGCCAATGCTGTTAATGCTGCTCATGTTCCCAATTGTGATGTGACCAATTCTGCCATTTGCTCTCCCCTCTCTCCCTCCCCTACTCCCCTCTCTCCACTCCACACCTCTCCTCCCCCACCCTCTCTCTTTTTCTCCCCCCAGGTGGCACGACTACAGCAAGTCCCTCCAGATGGTCCGAGACATCCTAATGTACATGGACCGAACCACATGCCCACTCCTGCTATGTTCTCCCCTGTTGCCTCCCTTCTCCTGTCCCTCTTCCCTCCCTCCTCCGCTTGCAGGTGGCATGACTACGGGAAATCTCTCCAGGTGATCCGAGACATCCTCATGTACATGGACCACACTTACCCAGGTGGCCAATGCTGCTGCCATGTCTTACCTCTCTTTCCCTATTTCCCCGTCCCCTCTTCCCAATCCCCCCCCTCTCACCCCCAGGTGGCACGACTACGGCAAGTCTCTTCAGATGATCCGAGACATCCTCATGTACATGGACCGCACCTACGTGACCAATCACAACAAGACACCTGTGCACGACCTCGGCCTCGCCCTCTGGCGCGACCACATCGTGCGCGCCCCCGCCATCCGCCCGCGCCTCCTCTCCACCCTCCTCTCCCTCATCCACCAAGAGCGCTCGGGCGAAGTGATCAACCGCGCCCTCATGCGATCCATATCGTCCATGTTCGCGGATCTCGGCCCGGCGGTCTATTCGGAGGATCTGGAGCGTCCGTTTCTGGAAGCCTCCGCGGCATTTTACCGGGGGGAGGCTCAGAGGTATCTGGGGACGTGTGATTGCGCGGATTATTTGAGGGTGGCGGAGAGGCGGTTGGAGGAGGAGGGGGAGCGCGTGGCGCAGTACTTAGATGCGCGCACGGAGGGGAAGGTGACGGGCGTGGTGGAGCGCGAGATGGTGGGGAACCACCTGAAGCTGCTGGTCGATATGGAGAACTCAGGCTTGGTGCCTATGCTTGTGAACGACAAATACGAGGTGAGAAGACGGATTGCTTTCCCCCTCCCTCCCTCCCTACTTCCTGGTGCTTCTGTGGGGGTGGGGGGTATCATTGCTGGTGGGGGGGTGGGGGGTAGTAAAAGGAGGGGGAGCGCGTGGCGCAGTACCTGGATGCGCGCACGGAGGGGAAGGTGACGGGCGTGGTGGAGAGGGAGATGGTGGGGAATCACCTCAGGCTACTCGTTGATATGGAGAACTCTGGCTTGGTGCCTATGCTCGTGAACGACAAGTACGAGGTGAGAAGACGGATTGCTTTCCCCCTCCCTCCCTCCCTTCCTACTTCCTGGTGCTTCTGTGGGGGTGGTGGGTATCATTGCTGGTGGGGGGGTGGGGGGTAGTAAAAGGAGGGGGAGCGCGTGGCGCAGTACCTGGATGCGCGCACGGAGGGGAAGGTGACGGGTGTGGTGGAGAGGGAGATGGTGGGGAATCACCTCAGGCTGCTCGTTGATATGGAGAACTCAGGCTTGGTGCCTATGCTTGTGAACGACAAGTACGAGGTGAGAAGACGGATTGCTTTCCCCCTCCCTCCCTCCCTTCCTACTTCCTGGTGCTTCTGTGGGGGTGGTGGGTATCATTGCTGGTGGGGGGGTGGGGGGTAGTAAAAGGAGGGGGAGCGCGTGGCGCAGTACCTGGATGCGCGCACGGAGGGGAAGGTGACGGGTGTGGTGGAGAGGGAGATGGTGGGGAATCACCTCAGGCTGCTCGTTGATATGGAGAACTCTGGCTTGGTGCCTATGCTCGTGAACGACAAGTACGAGGTGAGAACACGGATTGCTTTCCCCCTCCCTCCCTCCCTTCCTACTTCCTGGTGCTTCTGTGGGGGTGGTGGGTATCATTGCTGGTGGGGGGGTGGGGGGTAGTAAAAGGAGGGGGAGCGCGTGGCGCAGTACCTGGATGCGCGCACGGAGGGGAAGGTGACGGGTGTGGTGGAGAGGGAGATGGTGGGGAATCACCTCAGGCTGCTGGTGGATATGGAGAACTCAGGCTTGGTGCCTATGCTTGTGAACGACAAGTACGAGGTGAGAACACGGATTGCTTTCTCCCTCCCTCCCTCCCTCCCTTCCTACTTCCTGGTGCTTCTGTGGGGGTGGTGGGTATCATTGCTGGTGGGGGGGTGGGGGGTAGTAAAAGGAGGGGGAGCGCGTGGCGCAGTACCTGGATGCGCGCACGGAGGGGAAGGTGACGGGTGTGGTGGAGAGGGAGATGGTGGGGAATCACCTCAGGCTGCTCGTTGATATGGAGAACTCTGGCTTGGTGCCTATGCTCGTGAACGACAAGTACGAGGTGAGAACACGGATTGCTTTCCCCCTCCCTCCCTCCCTTCCTACTTCCTGGTGCTTCTGTGGGGGTGGTGGGTATCATTGCTGGTGGGGGGGTGGGGGGTAGTAAAAGGAGGGGGAGCGCGTGGCGCAGTACCTGGATGCGCGCACGGAGGGGAAGGTGACGGGTGTGGTGGAGAGGGAGATGGTGGGGAATCACCTCAGGCTGCTCGTTGATATGGAGAACTCTGGCTTGGTGCCTATGCTCGTGAACGACAAGTACGAGGTGAGAACACGGATTGCTTTCCCCCTCCCTCCCTCCCTTCCTACTTCCTGGTGCTTCTGTGGGGGTGGTGGGTATCATTGCTGGTGGGGGGGTGGGGGGTAGTAAAAGGAGGGGGAGCGCGTGGCGCAGTACCTGGATGCGCGCACGGAGGGGAAGGTGACGGGTGTGGTGGAGAGGGAGATGGTGGGGAATCACCTCAGGCTACTCGTTGATATGGAGAACTCTGGCTTGGTGCCTATGCTCGTGAACGACAAGTACGAGGTGAGAACACGGATTGCTTTCCCCCTCCCTCCCTCCCTTCCTACTTCCTGGTGCTTCTGTGGGGGTGGTGGGTATCATTGCTGGTGGGGGGGTGGGGGGTAGTAAAAGGAGGGGGAGCGCGTGGCGCAGTACCTGGATGCACGCACGGAGGGGAAGGTGACGGGCGTGGTGGAGCGCGAGATGGTGGGGAACCATCTGAGGCTGCTCGTGGATATGGAGAATTCCGGGCTCGTTCCCATGCTCGTCAACGACAAGTACGAGGTGCGTGTGTGTGTGGAGCTCTCTTGTATGAGATGGTGGGGAACCACCTCAGGCTGCTCGTGGATATGGAGAACTCCGGGCTCGTGCCCATGCTCGTCAACGACAAGTACGAGGTGCGTGTGTGTGTGAAGCTCTCTTGTATGAGATGGTGGGGAATCACCTCAGGTTGCTCGTTGACATGGAGAACTCTGGGCTCGTGCCCATGCTGGTCAATGCCAAGTATGAGGTGCGTTGAGTGGGGCTCTCCCCCCCCTACTCTCTCTGCCTGTCCTTCTCTTGAGTGGGTGGAGCGCGAGATGGTGGGGAATCACCTCAGGCTGGTGGGTATGATATGGAGAACTCTGGGCTCGTTCCCATGCTGGTCAACGACAAGTACGAGGTGCGTGTGTGGAGCCTGGTCCTTCTTCTGTCTCTGCCTGTCTCTTTCTGGGAACCACAACCACCTGCAGCTTCTTGTTGACATGGACAACTCTCTCCCTCCCTCTTTCTCTCCCTCCCTCCTTCCCTCTTTCTCTCCCTCCCTCTTTCTCTCCCTCCCTCTTTCTCTCCCTCCCTCCTTCTCTCTTTCTCTCCCTCCCTCTTTCTCTCCCTCCCTCCTTCCCTCTTCTCTCCCTCCCTCCTTCCCTCTTTCTCTCCCTCCCTCCTTCCCTCTTTCTCTCCCTCCCTCCTTCCCTCTTTCTCTCCCTCCCTCCTTCCCTCTTTCTCTCCCTCCCTCCTTCCCTCTTTCTCTCCCTCCCTCCTTCCCTCTTTCTCTCCCTCCCTCCTTCCCTCTTTTCTCTCCCTCCCTCCTTCCCTCTTTCTCTCCCTCCCTCCTTCCCTCTTTTCTCTCCCTCCCTCCTTCCCTCTTTCTCTCCCTCCCTCCTTCCCTCTTTTCTCTCCCTCCCTCCTTCCCTCTTTTCTCTCCCTCCTTCCCTCTTTTCTCTCCCTCCCTCCTTCCCTCTTTTCTCTCCCTCCTTCCTTCTTTCTCTACCTCCCTCCAATGAGGGAGGTGATGTCAGGGCACCTGAGCTATTAGCCGTATCCCCCCTTCTATTCCTTTCCACCCCCCTTACCAGGACATTGCGCGCATGTACCGCCTGCTGAAGCGGGTGTGGGGGGGGCTGCAGACAGGTGATGGGGGAGGTGATGTGGGGGCACCTGAGCTAACAGCCGTATCTCCCCTTCCATTCCTTTCCACCCCCCTTACCAGGACATTGCGCGCATGTACCGCCCGTCTGCTCAAGCGCGTGCCGGGGGGGCTGCAGACAGGTGATGGGGGAGGTGATGTGGGGGCACCTGAGCCAACAGCCGTATCTCCCCTTCCATTCCTTTCCACCCCCCTTACCAGGACATTGCCCGCATGTATCGCCTGCTCAAGCGCGTGCCGGGGGGGCTGCAGACGATGCGGGAAGGGGGGTGTGATGGGGGCAGTGAGCCGACTTTCAGTCCCCATTGCCCCTGCTTGCTTCCCCCTCCTCATTCCCCCCCCCCCACCTCTCAGGACATTGCACGCATGTATCGCCTGCTCAAGCGCGTGCCGGGGGGGCTGTGTGACGCATTCCACCATCCTTCCAACCTTCATTCAACCCCGCTTCCCTCCACCCTTCCCCCTGCCCGGCCCCACCCCACCTCTCAGGACATTGCGCGCATGTACCGCCTGCTCAAGCGGGTGCCGAGTGGCCTGCAGACGATGAGAGACGCCGTGAGCTAACTAATATTCCCCATTGCTCCCTTCCGTCCTCCCTGCCCCCTCCCCACTCTATCAGGACATTGCGCGCATGTATCGCCTTCTGAAGCGTGTGCCAAGTGGCCTGCAGACGATGCGGGAGGTGATGTCGGGGCATTTGAGGGAGACGGGCCGGCAGCTGGTCACTGATCCGGACAGGTAAGGCGGTGGGGGGTTGTGAGGGGGGTTTGTGGCCGTGCTTGAGTGGCCGTGTGCGAATGTGATGTGCTGAGGTGATGTCGGGGCACCTGAGAGAGACGGGCAGGCAGCTGGTGACTGATCCTGACAGGTATGGCAGTGGGTGAGGGTGGGTGTTGCCAATGGCTGTAACCGTGTAAGTGTGTGTGGTTGTGTGCGAATGTGAAGTGTTGAGGTGATGTCGGGGCACCTCAGAGAGACGGGCCGGGAGCTCGTCACTGACCCTGACAGGTGTGGTGGTGGGGGGGGCGTGGGGGTGGGTGAGAGTGGGTGTAAGTGGGTGTGATTGTGTGCTGGATGCGGGAGGTGATGTCGGGAGGTGATGTCGGGGCACCTGAGAGAGACGGGCCGGGAGCTCGTCACTGACCCGGACAGGTGTGGTGGTGGGGGGGGCGTGGGGGTGGGTGAGAGTGGGTGTAAGTGGGTGTGATTGTGTGCTGGATGCGGGAGGTGATGTCGGGAGGTGATGTCGGGGCACCCGAGGGAGACGGGCAGGCAGCTTGTGACTGACCCGGACAGGTATGGTGGTGGGGGGTGGGTTTGGGTGTGAATGGGTGTAAGTGGGTGTGCTTGTGTGCGCAGACGATGTGGGAGGTGATGTCGGGGCACCTCAGAGAGACGGGCAGGCAGCTTGTGACTGACCCCGATAGGTATGGCGGTGGGGGGTAGGGTAGGGGTTGGGGTGGGTGTGAGTGGGTGTGGTTGTGTGTGCAGACGATGAGGGAGGTGATGTCGGGGCATCTGAGGGAGACGGGCCGGCAGCTCGTGACTGATCCCGACAGGTATGACGATGGTGGGGGGGGTGGGGTAGGGTAGGGTAGGGTAGGGGTTGGGGTGGGTGTGAGTGGGTGTGGTTGTGTGGGTGGGAGGAGGGAGGTGATGTCGGGGCACCTCAGGGAGACGGGCAGGCAGCTGGTCACAGACCCGGACAGGTATGGCAGTGGGTGAGGGTGGGTGTTGGCAATGGGTGTAAGTGGGTGTGCTTGTGTGTGCAGACGATGCGGGAGGTGATGTCGGGGCACCTCAGAGAGACGGGCCGGCAGCTTGTCACAGACTCGGACAGGTGTGGTGGTGGGGAGGGTGGGGCGGGGTGGGCAGTGGGTGTGTGCAGACGATGCGGGAGGGGATGTCGGGGCACCTGTGAGAGACGGGCCGGCAGCTCGTTACCGATCCTGGGTGTAAGTGGGTGTAAGTGGGTGTGCTTGTGTGTGCAGACGATGCGGGAGGTGATGTCAGGGCACCTGAGAGAGACTGGCAGGCAGCTTGTCACTGACCCGGACAGGTGTGGTGGAGTGTGATGTGATGAGTAGCAGACAATGCGGGAGGTGATGTGTTGTGAGTTGAGATGTCGGGGCACCTGAGGGAAATGGGCAGGCAGCTTGTCACTGACCCCAACATGTGTGGTGGTGATTGCATCATCAACGCACCTACGAGGAGTGTGTGAGTGGGAGGGTGGGGTTGGTTGTACGTGTCCTGCCATGTGTGTATGTGCGATGAGTTGAGATGACGGGGCATCTGAGGGAGACGGGTGGGTAGCTTGTGACTGACCTGACAGGTGCGCATGCGAGAATGCAGGTGGGTGAGAAAGCGTTTTTTAGTGAGTGTTAGAAAGAGAATGTGTGTGGAAGGGTGTGCGAGATAGAGTGTGTGTGGAATCTGTGAGATAAATGTCATCCCTTTATCATGGGCCCTCGCTGCAAACCATTTCTTCCCATCCTCAAAACCCCCCCCCCCCCCCCTCATGCAGGTGCAAGGACGGAGTTTGTGCAGCGCCTCTTGGAGGAGAAGGACAAGTACGATCGAATAATCTCTGCTTCATTCCGCCCCTCCCTGCTCCACACCTCCCCACCCCTCCCTCTTCACTCCTTCAGGTGCAAGGACCCCGTTGAGTTTGTTCAGCGCCTGCTGGAGGAAAAGGACAAGTACGATCGCATCATAGCCGCCTCGTTCGTCTTCCTCCTCCGCTCTCCTCCTTTCTCCTCCCCGCCTCTCCCCTCCCAACACACCAGGTGCAAGGACCCGGTCAAGTTTGTGCAGCACCTGCTAGAGGAGAAAGACAAGTACGATCGCATAATCACACTCCCTTGGTAACACTCCACTCCTTCCCACTCCTTCCCATCCCTCTTCACCCCTTCAGGTGCAAGGACCCGGTCGAGTTCGTGCAGCGCCTCCTGGAGGAGAAGGATAAATATGACCGAATCATCTCGGCCTCATTCGCCTCTGATAAAGCCTTCCACACGGCCCTCTCCACCGCCTTTGAGTTCTTCCTCAACCTTAACGCTCGCGCTGCCGCATATCCGCCCCTTCCTGTACTACTCCTCACTCTTCTCCCCCTCCCTCATGCAGGTGCAAGGACCCAGTCGAGTTCGTACAGAGGCTGCTAGAGGAGAAGGACAAGTACGACCGAATCATCTCCGCCTCCTTCGCCTCAGACAAGGCCTTCCACACGGCCCTCTCCACGGCCTTTGAGTTCTTCCTCAACCTCAACGCGCGCGCTGCCGAGTACATCTCTCTCTTCATCGACGACAAGCTGCGCAAGGGGCTCAAGGGGGCGAGCGAGGAGGAGGCCGAGGCGGTGCTCGATAAGGTCATGACTCTGTTCCGGTTCCTGCAGGAAAAGGACGTGTTTGAGAAGTATTACAAGCAGCACTTAGCTAAGCGCCTGCTGTCCGGGAAGACGGTTTCGGATGATGCGGAACGGAGCTTTATTGTGAAGCTTAAGACTGAGTGTGGGTACCAGTTTACGTCGAAACTCGAGGGCATGTTCCTGGATATGAAGACGTCTCAGGATACGATGCACGCGTTTCACTGCGCGTTACAGGCTGAGGCTGCGGCGGCGGCGGTGGCGACGGGAGGAGGTGTGGGAGTGGTAGAGGAGAGGGGGGGCGGAGAGGGAGAGGTGGAGGATCCGGCTAATGGGGTTGCTGCTGCTGCTGCTCTTGCTGCCACTGCTGCTGGTTTACGGGAGGAAGGAGGGGATGAGGGTGGGGAGGAGGAAGGAGAAGGGTCTGCACGCGGGGGAGCAGCAGTAGCAGCACTCCGCACCGAACCAGATCTTGCCCTCGCCGGACCGTCCGGCACGGCAGCAGGCTCGGGAGCCGGCTCGTCATCATCAGCATCGGCGGCAGCAGGAGGGGCGGCAGCGGGTGGATTATTCCAAGGGCCGACTCTATCCGTCCAGGTGTTAACTACAGGGTCTTGGCCCACCCAGGCCGGTGCCAGATGCAACCTCCCCGGGGAGATCCTGCCCATCTGTGAGAAGTTCACAAGGCACTACCTGACGACGCACACCGGGCGGCGGCTGACGTGGCAGATGAACATGGGGCATGCGGACGTGAAGGCCATGTTTGAGTCACGGAAATACGAGCTGTCGGTGTCCACCTACCAGGTGGGTTGGGCCCGTGTCAACGTACCAGGTGGGTGGGGCATACCGGGTGGGTTGGTTTGCAATGACTTATTGTGAACATGGGGCATGCGGACGTGAAGGCCACGTTTGAGTCACGGAAATACAAGCTGTCGGTGTCCACCTACCAGGTGGGTTGGGCCCGTGTCAACGTACCAGGTGGGTTGGGCCCGTGTCAACGTACCAGGTGGGTGGGGCATACCGGGCGGGTTGGTTTGCAATGACTTATTGTGAACATGGGGCATGCGGACGTGAAGGCCACGTTTGAGTCGCGGAAATACGAGCTGTCCGTGTCGACCTACCAGGTGGGTGGGTGGGGTTTTTGGTAATCAGTCAGGTGGGCGCGGTACCGACCTTGTTTGATTCGTGGAGATTGAAATACGAGCTGCTAGTGTCCACGTACCAGGTCGGTGGGCGGCTTCTCACTGTCGTACCTGCAGTCGCTGTAGCTGGTGCGCGGCAAAAACGTGCTGTCCCTCCCTTTCTCAATCCCTCCCCCCCCCCCCCTCTCAGATGTGCATCCTCATGCTCTTCAACACGCACGACGCCCTCACCTACCGCGACATCGAGGCAGCCACTGACATTCCAACAGCTAGCCTGAGGCCCAATCTGCGCTCTCTGTCTTCCCCCTCTCCCCCCCCTCTCAGATGTGCATCCTCATGCTCTTCAACGCACACGACTCCCTCACCTACCGAGACATCGAGGCCGCCACTTACATTTCCTCGGCTGACCTGCACTGCAACCTGCAGTCGCTGTCGCTGGTGCGCAGCAAGAACGTTCCTCCCCCCTTCTCCCCCCTTCTCCCCCCCCTTCCCCTCCCCCCAACCCCGACCTTAGGCGCAACCTGCAGTCGCTGTCGCTGGTGCGCGGCAAGAACGTTCCTCCCCCCTTCTCCCCCCTTCTCCCCCCTTCTCCCCCCCCTTCCCCTCCCCCCAACCAGATTTGCATCCTCATGCTGTTTAATACGCACGACTCCCTCACCTATCGAGACATCGAAGCTGCTACAGATATTCCCCAGGCCGATCTGCGCTGCAACCTGCAGTCGCTGTCACTGACATCGAGGCAGCCACTGACATTCCAACAGCTAGCCTGAGGCCCAATCTGCGCTCTCTGTCTTCCCCCTCTCCCCCCCCTCTCAGATGTGCATCCTCATGCTCTTCAACGCACACGACTCCCTCACCTACCGAGACATCGAGGCCGCCACTTACATTTCCTCGGCTGACCTGCACTGCAACCTGCAGTCGCTGTCGCTGGTGCGCAGCAAGAACGTTCCTCCCCCCTTCTCCCCCCTTCTCCCCCCCCTTCCCCTCCCCCCAACCCCGACCTCAGGCGCAACCTGCAGTCGCTGTCGCTGGTGCGCGGCAAGAACGTTCCTCCCCCCTTCTCCCCCCTTCTCCCCCCTTCTCCCCCCCCTTCCCCTCCCCCCAACCAGATTTGCATCCTCATGCTGTTTAATACGCACGACTCCCTCACCTATCGAGACATCGAAGCTGCTACAGATATTCCCCAGGCCGATCTGCGCTGCAACCTGCAGTCGCTGTCGCTGGTGCACGGCAGGAGCGTGCTCTCCCTCCCCTCCTCTCCCCTTAACCTCCCGCCCGTCCCCCCCTCCCCCTTTCCCCCACCTCAGATGTGCATTTTAATGCTCTTCAACACGCACGACTCCCTCACCTATCGAGACATAGAAGCTGCTACAGATATCCCCTCGGCAGACCTGCGACGCAACCTGCAGTCGCTGTCATTGGTGCGAGGGAAGAATGTGCTGAGGAAGGAGCCGGTGGGCAAGGAGGTGGGGGATGATGACACGTTCCACTTCAACCACAAGTTTACTTCCAAGTTCTTCAAGGTGAGAAAAGGGCGGAGATGGGGTGCTAGTGTGCAGGGGAGAGCAGGCGTGCAACCAGCAGTCGCTGTCGCTGGTGCGAGGCAAGAACGTGCTGCGGAAGGAGCCGATGGGCAAGGAGGTGGGGGATGATGATACGTTCCACTTCAACCACAAGTTTACTTCCAAGTTCTTCAAGGTGAGTCAGGAGGATGGGTGGAGGGGAGAGGGAGCTGGATATTCGGTAAGGGACCGAGCACACCCTTCCGAGCACACCCTTCCGAGCACACCTATCGGTCTGCAGGTGAAAATTGGCACCATTTCAGCGCAGAAGGAGACGGAGCCGAAGAAGGCGGAGACGAGGCAGAAGGTGGAGGAGGACAGGACACCGCAGATAGAGGCTTCTGCTGTGCTTCCCTTTCCCTCTGCCTCAATCTGTTCCTCTCTTCCTCAATCGGTTTCCCTTTGCCTCCCTTTTGTCAACCTGCAGGTGAAGATCGGGACCATTTCCGCTCAGAAGGAGACAGAGCCGGAGAAGGCGGAGACGAGGCAGAAGGTGGAGGAGGACAGGAAGCCGCAGATCGAGGCGGCAATTGTTCGCATCATGAAGTCGCGACGCATGCTGGACCACAACAACCTTGTCAGGTGAGCTTATAAAGGGTACGGCAGTGCTGGGCTGCTTGTTGGAGGAGTTAAGAGCTGCAAATACAGGCAGCCATAGTGCGCATCATGAAGTCACGGCGCATGCTGGACCACAACAATCTTGCCAGGTGAGCTTGTAAAGGGGACAGCAGTGTTTGGCTGCTTCTGTGCTTCTTCTGTGCTTCCCCTGTGCAACCACTGTTCTTCTTCTGTGCCTCCCCTGTGTGTCCACTCTGCAGCGAGGTGACAAAGCAGCTGCAAGCGCGATTCCTGCCCAACCCGGCAGTCATCAAGAAGCGCATAGAGAGCCTGATAGAGAGGGAGTTTCTGGAGCGCGACCGCAACGACCGCAAGCTCTACCGCTACCTCGCCTAAACGAATCTTCTATGAGACTATGACGCTTATATAGTGGTTCTTGGGTGGTGTGTAATCAAGAAGCGCATAGAGAGCCTGATAGAGAGGGAGTTCCTGGAGCGCGACCGCAACGACCGCAAGCTCTACCGCTACCTCGCCTAAACGAATCTTCTATGAGACTATGACGCTTATATAGTGGTTCTTGGGTGGTGTGTAATCAAGAAGCGCATAGAGAGCCTGATAGAGAGGGAGTTCCTGGAGCGCAACCGCAAGCTGTACCGCGACCACGCTTGATGCCTATCTTCTACGTGATGCCTACAGTGGCTTTTTGGATGGGGGTTAATGTTACGCCCAAGAGCAACTCCAGAAGTCTCCAAGACACATGTACCGTACCCTACATGGAGCCTCATAGAGAGGGAGTTCCTCCTGGAGCGCGACCGCAAAGCCCGCAAGCTCTACCCGCTACCTCGCTTAAAGTGAATCTGAACTTCCGGTGATGCATATAATGGCTCTTGAATGGGGTTTATCTCTTCGCTCAGAGTTGATTCTTGAAGACTCCCAAGACACATACACCCTAGAGGAGCAGGCGGGGAGGGACCTGAACGACAACTGTGAGCTCTGCTCTGCTGGTATGTAGGTCTGAAGTGAATCTTCAATGCTAAGGATGGAGAATCAAGTTCCTCTGAAGGTACTGGTACCTCTTTTTGCATAATACAGAAGGGAATGAGGTACTGGTAACCCTGACTGTTGCACTTGCTCCACTATGTGACAAATGTCCCCACAACTTGTGATCTAAAATAGCACTGTGAGATACTCAACTGCTGGCAGTTGGCATCTGCCACGAGGTCATCATGTGTGTCACTCCATGGAGTTTGTCAAAACAAGGCAGTCTGCCACCTGCTAAGGGCTGTTGACATTTTATGATTTCAGATCTGCAGTTGCTCTTCTCAAGAGGCAGTTTATTGGAGAGCAGATGCAAAGCACAGCATTGTAGGACTACAGGTTCCGGCCTGTAACCTTCATGACCTTGCGGAGTGCTGCTGACACAACCAGTGGAGCTAGCTCAACTAAACAAGCACTGGGCAACAGGGATAGATAGCTAGAGCCTGCGGTACACGCCAGGACCAAGCTCAATTAAACGAGCACAGGGCAACGACAAAAGGGTTAGACTAGATATCTAGGCCTTCCGGTACATGTACAAGAAATTGGATAGTGTCAGAAAATGTTTAATTATCATAGTTACAAACTAAGGAACACATTGTGAAGAGCTAAGTTGCTATTTTGCATTCAGTCTAACCGCCAAATCCGTAGAGCGTCCTACCCTGGCGCTTCAGGGCGTAAACAACATCCATGGCGGTAACCGTCTTTCTCCGCGCGTGCTCGGTGTAAGTCACAGCGTCACGAATGACATTCTCGAGAAACACCTTCAGCACGCCGCGTGTCTCTTCATAAATGAGACCGCTGATACGCTTGACACCGCCGCGGCGAGCGAGACGCCTGATAGCCGGCTTGGTGATGCCCTGGATGTTATCGCGAAGAACCTTCCTGTGACGCTTCGCGCCTCCTTTTCCAAGGCCCTTGCCTCCCTTTCCGCGTCCTGACATGGCTGTCTAGAGGCGAATCACGTAGCGAGATGGAAGGCCTTCACTGATAATGCTGGTGCTGATGAAGTGTGGTGGATTGAACCTTCTGATAACTGATACAAAAACTCCAATGGAAGAAGTGGAAACAGATGTGCGGAACTGTTTGTGATTGAGAAAGTGAGGGAGAGTTTATGGGTGCTCGTCGCGATCCCCTTGCTGCACAAGCCCGAGGCTCTGGAGACGCCCCTAGTCGATGGATTGAGCACATGCGGTGTGCTGGGTGGGATGGTTCATGAGGAACTGATCTAGCCGCTGATAAATGTGACAGGCTTCCAGTATCGGACGGCATTCCGTAATTGAAGCCGATCGAGAATTGATGCAACACCATGATTTTATTGGACACACTGCAGATCGTGTACTCGTTCTATTGATACCCACCAACTTATTTGAGCAATCGTGGGACAAATACGAAGTGTAGCTTAATCTTGGAATTTACCTGTAAACAAAGAATCACATCTGCTACCAAAACCTTCACATTAACATTAATTCATACAATAAATAACGAGAAGAGCCATTATGAAAGCAAAATTTAATTATAAGGAAGAATTAATTATTCATCTAGCAAAGCTCGTGTGCTCCAAAGTAGAAAACGGAATATGTGAAATTGTCCATTAAGGTAATAGTGTGTCCTGAGATGTCTGAACTCGCAGTGTAAGTTACGTGTGTATATACTGTAAAGCGTATGCACTGCACACAGCAAATGCAACGAACCAACATCCAGTTATGAGCTAAACAGACATTGAGAAATTCCAAATTCAGGGTCCTGTGACTTTTCATGAGCAACTCAAGGTAGGCCAATGGTCATGAGGGTTTGTATTGTAACGGTCCACTGACTAGGGTTAGCTGTTTGGCCATGGTCATTACTCGCGCGACACGGAGTCTATTTAGGCCATGGAATCCCCGAACTCATCGCGTCGCCTGTCTGTAGCGCGACCAACGGACGAGCCGGCCTCCGGTCTCGCAACCGGCTCCACCGTCTCCGCCGCACCTCCCGCCGCCACTGTCGGCATCTCCGGCGTCGCATTTATGGACGGCCCGATCTCTGCGTCGTTGAATCGTGGCCGCTCGAATCCGGGACGTGCGGTGCTGGGCAGCCGGATAGGGAAAGAAGAAGCCGTCGTGGACCGTAGGGCAGGGAAACGGGCAGCCGAAGAGATGGGGGAGGATAGCGAGGAGGAGAGCGAAGGGGAAGCGGAGGAGGGAGCGGACGAGGGAGCGGAGAGAGCGGAGGGAGCGGAGGAAGAAGACGGAGAAGAGGGAGGCGCGACGGCGAATGAAGCCCGGAATGGAAGTAGGGGGACGTTGAAGGGGAAGGGGAAGGGAAAGGTGAAGGGGACGGGGGAGGGGAAGGGGGAGGCGGAGGGAAAGGGGAAGGCGGGGGGGAAGCAGAAGGGGGAATCTTCGAGTGAAGCGGAGGTGTGCTCCATTTGCCTTGACGCCGTTGATGTGTGCTCCATCGAACGGTCAACAGCGCGTCTGAAATGCGGCCACGGCTTCCATTTAGGTAAGCTGATCGAAGCTTTCTGTCGACTCGACTCTTCTCCCCTGCCTTTTCTCCCCCTCTGCTCCGCTTGAAGTCCCCCCGTTTTGTCTCCGCGTTCAAACATTAAGCGCTGCATGCAGCGCCTAAACTGCCCCCCTACTGCTCCCCTTCTTTTTCCCCTTCGTTCCCCTCCTTTCTCCCCTCTTCTCCCCATTGCTCCCTGTTTCTCTGCTCACCGTCTCTCCGTCCCCTCACCCCACCCTCTGCTCCCCTTCTCTCCTCCCTTCCCGTCCCAGACTGCATTGGCTGTGCTTTCAACGCAAAGCGCCGCATGCAGTGTCCCAACTGCTGCTTTCCCCCTCTCCCTCCCTTTTTCTCCATTTCCCTCCCCCCCCACCCCCCCCCCCCCCCCCCCCCCCCCCAGACTGCATTGGCTCCGCCTTCAACGCCAAGCGCCGTATGCAGTGCCCCAACTGCCGCAGCGAGGAGCCCCACTCTCACCTCTACTCGCGCATTTTTTCCGTTGTTTCTCCCTCCTCTCCCCACACAGACTGCATCGGTTCTGCGTTCAACGCCAAGCGTCGTATGCAGTGCCCCAACTGCCGCAGCGAGGAGCCCGGCCACTGGCTCCTCCCCTCGCCCCTCTGCTCCTCATCCGTCCTTCCCCTCCTTCCCATCCGATTCCCCTCCACCTTCCCTCCCCAGACTGCATTGGTTCCGCCTTCAACGCCAAGCGCCGTATGCAGTGCCCCAACTGCCACAGTCTCCCATCCCATCTTCTTCCTCTTTTTTCCCCTATTTTTTCCTCCCTTCCCCTTCGTCCGCCCCCCAGACTGCATCGGCTCCGCATTCAACGCCAAGCGCCGTATGCAGTGCCCCAACTGCCGCAGCGAGGAGCACGGCCACTGGCTCCTCCCCTTCCCCCCTTCCGCCTCCGCCCCCTCTCCACCCCCCCTCCCCGCCTCCTTCTCCGATCTTGCTGCTGCTGCCGCTGCTGCTCGCGACTTCCAGGCTACTTTCGGGGGAGGGTTTACTGGTGCAGTTGGGAGGGAGTGGACGGGAGGGGCAGGCTTGGAGTGGGGGGGAGAAGGGGCGGCGTGGAGGGAAGCAGGGGTGGGGTGGGGGGAAGTAGGGGAGGGAGGAGGCGCGGGGTGGGTGCAGGCTGGGGAGGAGAGGGGGAGAGAGGTGCAGTGGTGGCGGGGGTGGGGGGAGTCTGGGGAAGAGTACACAGAGGATGACTATGCTATATCGGAGCATGCTATAGAGGAGGAGTATGCTATATCGGAGCGTGCTATAGAGGAGGAATATGCTATATCGGAGCATGCTATAGAGGAGGAGTATGCTGTATCAGCGAATGCTATGGAGGAGGCTTTGGAGGGCGGGCTGATGACTCGGCCATGGATTCATCATGACGTGCGTGGGGGATGGGGGATGGGGGATGGGAGATGGGTTTTGAGTCGACTCAAAAGGCATTGGAGGGTGGGCTGATGATGACTCGACCATGGATTCATCATGATGTGCGTGGGGGATGGGGGATGGGAGATGGGAGATGGGTTTTGAGTCGACTCAAAAGGCATTGGAGGGTGGGCTGATGATGACTCGACCATGGATTCATCATGATGTGCGTGGGGGATGGGGGATGGGAGATGGGAGATGGGTTTTGAGTCGACTCAAAAGGCATTGGAGGGTGGGCTGATGATGACTCGACCATGGATTCATCATGATGTGCGTGGGGGATGGGGGATGGGAGATGGGAGATGGGTTTTGAGTCGACTCAAAAGGCATTGGAGGGTGGGCTGATGATGACTCGACCATGGATTCATCATGATGTGCGTGGGGGATGGGGGATGGGAGATGGGAGATGGGTTTTGAGTCGACTCAAAAGGCATTGGAGGGTGGGCTGATGATGACTCGACCATGGATTCATCATGATGTGCGTGGGGGATGGGGGATGGGAGATGGGAGATGGGTTTTGAGTCGACTCAAAAGGCATTGGAGGGTGGGCTGATGATGACTCGACCATGGATTCATCATGATGTGCGTGGGGGATGGGGGATGGGAGATGGGAGATGGGTTTTGAGTCGACTCAAAAGGCATTGGAGGGTGGGCTGATGATGACTCGACCATGGATTCATCATGATGTGCGTGGGGGATGGGGGATGGGAGATGGGAGATGGGTTTTGAGTCGACTCAAAAGGCATTGGAGGGTGGGCTGATGATGACTCGACCATGGATTCATCATGATGTGCGTGGGGGATGGGGGATGGGAGATGGGAGATGGGTTTTGAGTCGACTCAAAAGGCATTGGAGGGTGGGCTGATGATGACTCGACCATGGATTCATCATGATGTGCGTGGGGGATGGGGGATGGGAGATGGGAGATGGGTTTTGAGTCGACTCAAAAGGCATTGGAGGGTGGGCTGATGATGACTCGACCATGGATTCATCATGATGTGCGTGGGGGATGGGGGATGGGAGATGGGAGATGGGTTTTGAGTCGACTCAAAAGGCATTGGAGGGTGGGCTGATGATGACTCGACCATGGATTCATCATGATGTGCGTGGGGGATGGGGGATGGGAGATGGGAGATGGGTTTTGAGTCGACTCAAAAGGCATTGGAGGGTGGGCTGATGATGACTCGACCATGGATTCATCATGATGTGCGTGGGGGATGGGGGATGGGAGATGGGAGATGGGTTTTGAGTCGACTCAAAAGGCATTGGAGGGTGGGCTGATGATGACTCGACCATGGATTCATCATGATGTGCGTGGGGGATGGGGGATGGGAGATGGGAGATGGGTTTTGAGTCGACTCAAAAGGCATTGGAGGGTGGGCTGATGATGACTCGACCATGGATTCATCATGATGTGCGTGGGGGATGGGGGATGGGAGATGGGAGATGGGTTTTGAGTCGACTCAAAAGGCATTGGAGGGTGGGCTGATGATGACTCGACCATGGATTCATCATGATGTGCGTGGGGGATGGGGGATGGGAGATGGGAGATGGGTTTTGAGTCGACTCAAAAGGCATTGGAGGGTGGGCTGATGATGACTCGACCATGGATTCATCATGATGTGCGTGGGGGATGGGGGATGGGAGATGGGAGATGGGTTTTGAGTCGACTCAAAAGGCATTGGAGGGTGGGCTGATGATGACTCGACCATGGATTCATCATGATGTGCGTGGGGGATGGGGGATGGGAGATGGGAGATGGGTTTTGAGTCGACTCAAAAGGCATTGGAGGGTGGGCTGATGATGACTCGACCATGGATTCATCATGATGTGCGTGGGGGATGGGGGATGGGAGATGGGAGATGGGTTTTGAGTCGACTCAAAAGGCATTGGAGGGTGGGCTGATGATGACTCGACCATGGATTCATCATGATGTGCGTGGGGGATGGGGGATGGGAGATGGGAGATGGGTTTTGAGTCGACTCAAAAGGCATTGGAGGGTGGGCTGATGATGACTCGACCATGGATTCATCATGATGTGCGTGGGGGATGGGGGATGGGAGATGGGAGATGGGTTTTGAGTCGACTCAAAAGGCATTGGAGGGTGGGCTGATGATGACTCGACCATGGATTCATCATGATGTGCGTGGGGGATGGGGGATGGGAGATGGGAGATGGGTTTTGAGTCGACTCAAAAGGCATTGGAGGGTGGGCTGATGATGACTCGACCATGGATTCATCATGATGTGCGTGGGGGATGGGGGATGGGAGATGGGAGATGGGTTTTGAGTCGACTCAAAAGGCATTGGAGGGTGGGCTGATGATGACTCGACCATGGATTCATCATGATGTGCGTGGGGGATGGGGGATGGGAGATGGGAGATGGGTTTTGAGTCGACTCAAAAGGCATTGGAGGGTGGGCTGATGATGACTCGACCATGGATTCATCATGATGTGCGTGGGGGATGGGGGATGGGAGATGGGAGATGGGTTTTGAGTCGACTCAAAAGGCATTGGAGGGTGGGCTGATGATGACTCGACCATGGATTCATCATGATGTGCGTGGGGGATGGGGGATGGGAGATGGGAGATGGGTTTTGAGTCGACTCAAAAGGCATTGGAGGGTGGGCTGATGATGACTCGACCATGGATTCATCATGATGTGCGTGGGGGATGGGGGATGGGAGATGGGAGATGGGTTTTGAGTCGACTCAAAAGGCATTGGAGGGTGGGCTGATGATGACTCGACCATGGATTCATCATGATGTGCGTGGGGGATGGGGGATGGGAGATGGGAGATGGGTTTTGAGTCGACTCAAAAGGCATTGGAGGGTGGGCTGATGATGACTCGACCATGGATTCATCATGATGTGCGTGGGGGATGGGGGATGGGAGATGGGAGATGGGTTTTGAGTCGACTCAAAAGGCATTGGAGGGTGGGCTGATGATGACTCGACCATGGATTCATCATGATGTGCGTGGGGGATGGGGGATGGGAGATGGGAGATGGGTTTTGAGTCGACTCAAAAGGCATTGGAGGGTGGGCTGATGATGACTCGACCATGGATTCATCATGATGTGCGTGGGGGATGGGGGATGGGAGATGGGAGATGGGTTTTGAGTCGACTCAAAAGGCATTGGAGGGTGGGCTGATGATGACTCGACCATGGATTCATCATGATGTGCGTGGGGGATGGGGGATGGGAGATGGGAGATGGGTTTTGAGTCGACTCAAAAGGCATTGGAGGGTGGGCTGATGATGACTCGACCATGGATTCATCATGATGTGCGTGGGGGATGGGGGATGGGAGATGGGAGATGGGTTTTGAGTCGACTCAAAAGGCATTGGAGGGTGGGCTGATGATGACTCGACCATGGATTCATCATGATGTGCGTGGGGGATGGGGGATGGGAGATGGGGCATGGGGATGGGGCATGGGGGATGGGGGATGGGTCTTGACTTTTGAGTCGACTCAAAAGGCATTGGAGGGCGGGCTGATGACTCGGCCATGGATTCATCATGATGTGCGTGGGGCATGGGGGATGGGGCATGTGGGATGGGGGACGGGGCATGGAGAATGGGGGGTGGGGCATGGGGCAGGGGAATGGGGAATGGGGGATGGGGCATGGGGCAGGGGAATGGGGAATGGGGGATGGGGCATGGGGCAGGGGAATGGGGAATGGGGGATGGGGCATGGAGAATGGGGTAACCAGGAGCTGCGCTCCAATCATTATTGGTTGGCCAACTGTGTTAATTACCCAATATGGTTGGGGCGAGCTACCTGGGGAAGCAATAATTAATTGATGAGGGCCGAGAGAGTTGGCCACCGTCAAATATGGCAAGGGGGGTTGAGGCGCCCTAAACCAAGGCGCCTGGAACCAAAGCGCCTAAGACCAAGGCGCCTTGCCATAAGGGAACCAAGGCGCCTGGAACCAAAGCGCCTTAAACCAAGGCGCCTTGCCATAAGGGAACCAAGGCGCCTGGAACCAAAGGTTGAACTGAACTCATCCATTCCCTTCCTCCTTCCCTTCCCCTCCTCCGCGCCCTCCCTGTGCCCTCCCCTTCCCCTCCCCGCGCCCTGCCCTCCCCCACTCCACGCTCCCCTACAGATGTACCACCCTGGCGAGCGCACCTCTCCTCTCATTCATCAATTATTCACTCCCTTCCTCCTCCTTCCCCACTCCACGCTCCCCTACAGATGTACCACCCTGGCGAGCGCACCTCTCCTCTCATTCATCAATTATTCACTCCCTTCCTCCTCCTTCCCCACTCCACGCTCCCCTACAGATGTACGACCCTGGAGAGCGCACCTCTCCTCTCATTCATCAATTATTCACTCCCTTCCTCCTCCTTCCCCACTCCACGCTCCCCTACAGATGTACCACCCTGGCGAGCGCACCTCTCCTCTCATTCATCAATTATTCACTCCCTTCCTCCTCCTTCCCCACTCCACGCTCCCCTACAGATGTACGACCCTGGAGAGCGCACCTCTTCTCTCATTCATCAATTATTCACTCCCTTCCTCCTCCTTCCCCACTCCACGCTCCCCTACAGATGTACCACCCTGGCGAGCGCACCTCTCCTCTCATTCATCAATTATTCACTCCCTTCCTCCTCCTTCCCCACTCCACACTCCCCTACAGATGTACGACCCTGGAGAGCGCACCTCTCCTCTCATTCATCACTTATTCACTCCCTTCCTCCCCCTTCCCCACTCCACGCCCCCCTACAGATGTACGACCCTGGAGAGCGCACCTCTCCTCTCATTCATCAATTATTCACTCCCTTCCTCCTCCTTCCCCACTCCACGCCCCCCTACAGATGTACGACCCTGGAGAGCGCACCTCTCCTCTCATTCATCAATTATTCACTCCCTTCCTCCTCCTTCCCCACTTCACGCCCCCCTACAGATGTACCACCCTGGAGAGCGCACCTCTCCTCTCATTCATCAATTATTCACTCCCTTCCTCCTCCTTCCCCACTCCACGCCCCCCTACAGATGTACCACCCTGGAGAGCGCACCTCTCCTCTCATTCATCAATTATTCACTCCCTTCCTCCTCCTTCCCCACTTCACGCCCCCCTACAGATGTACCACCCTGGAGAGCGCACCTCTCCTCTCATTCATCAATTATTCACTCCCTTCCTCCTCCTTCCCCACTCCACGCCCCCCTACAGATGTACCACCCTGGAGAGCGCACCTCTCCTCTCATTCATCAATTATTCACTCCCTTCCTCCTCCTTCCCCACTCCACGCCCCCCTACAGATGTACCACCCTGGAGAGCGCACCTCTCCTCTCATTCATCAATTATTCACTCCCTTCCTCCTCCTTCCCCACTCCACGCCCCCCTACAGATGTACCACCCTGGAGAGCGCACCTCTCCTCTCATTCATCAATTATTCACTCCCTTCCTCCTCCTTCCCCACTCCACGCCCCCCTACAGATGTACCACCCTGGAGAGCGCACCTCTCCTCTCATTCATCAATTATTCACTCCCTTCCTCCTCCTTCCCCACTCCACGCCCCCCTACAGATGTACCACCCTGGAGAGCGCACCTCTCCTCTCATTCATCAATTATTCACTCCCTTCCTCCCCCTTCCCCACTCCACGCCCCCCTACAGATGTACGACCCTGGAGAGCGCACCTCTCCTCTCATTCATCAATTATTCACTCCCTTCCTCCTCCTTCCCCACTCCACGCCCCCCTACAGATGTACCACCCTGGAGAGCGCACCTCTCCTCTCATTCATCAATTATTCACTCCCTTCCTCCTCCTTCCCCACTCCACGCCCCCCTACAGATGTACCACCCTGGAGAGCGCACCTCTCCTCTCATTCATCAATTATTCACTCCCTTCCTCCTCCTTCCCCACTCCACGCCCCCCTACAGATGTACCACCCTGGAGAGCGCACCTCTCCTCTCATTCATCAATTATTCACTCCCTTCCTCCTCCTTCCCCACTCCACGCCCCCCTACAGATGTACCACCCTGGAGAGCGCACCTCTCCTCTCATTCATCAATTATTCACTCCCTTCCTCCTCCTTCCCCACTCCACGCCCCCCTACAGATGTACCACCCTGGAGAGCGCACCTCTCCTCTCATTCATCAATTATTCACTCCCTTCCTCCTCCTTCCCCACTCCACGCCCCCCTACAGATGTACCACCCTGGAGAGCGCACCTCTCCTCTCATTCATCAATTATTCACTCCCTTCCTCCTCCTTCCCCACTCCACGCCCCCCTACAGATGTACCACCCTGGAGAGCGCACCTCTCCTCTCATTCATCAATTATTCACTCCCTTCCTCCTCCTTCCCCACTCCACGCCCCCCTACAGATGTACCACCCTGGAGAGCGCACCTCTCCTCTCATTCATCAATTATTCACTCCCTTCCTCCTCCTTCCCCACTCCACGCCCCCCTACAGATGTACCACCCTGGAGAGCGCACCTCTCCTCTCATTCATCAATTATTCACTCCCTTCCTCCTCCTTCCCCACTCCACGCCCCCCTACAGATGTACCACCCTGGAGAGCGCACCTCTCCTCTCATTCATCAATTATTCACTCCCTTCCTCCTCCTTCCCCACTCCACGCCCCCCTACAGATGTACCACCCTGGAGAGCGCACCTCTCCTCTCATTCATCAATTATTCACTCCCTTCCTCCCCCTTCCCCACTCCACGCCCCCTACAGATGTACCACCCTGGAGAGCGCACCTCTCCTCTCATTCATCAATTATTCACTCCCTTCCTCCTCCTTCCCCACTCCACGCCCCCCTACAGATGTACCACCCTGGAGAGCGCACCTCTCCTCTCATTCATCAATTATTCACTCCCTTCCTCCTCCTTCCCCACTCCACGCCCCCCTACAGATGTACCACCCTGGAGAGCGCACCTCTCCTCTCATTCATCAATTATTCACTCCCTTCCTCCTCCTTCCCCACTCCACGCCCCCCTACAGATGTACCACCCTGGAGAGCGCACCTCTCCTCTCATTCATCAATTATTCACTCCCTTCCTCCTCCTTCCCCACTCCACGCCCCCCTACAGATGTACCACCCTGGAGAGCGCACCTCTCCTCTCATTCATCAATTATTCACTCCCTTCCTCCCCCTTCCCCACTCCACGCTCCCCTACAGATGTACCACCCTGGCGAGCACGCCACTTGTGGTGCATACACACACGCCTATCGCGCCTCTTTCCCCCGCCGTCCCCTCTCCGCGTCGTCCCCCTGCGCCCCCCCCCCCCCCCCCCTCCGCGCCCTCCCCTGCAGATGTACCACCCTGGCGAGCGCGCCTCTCATGCTGCACACACAGACTCATACAGCCCCTCGCTCTCGTCCGCTCATCAATTATTCACTCCCTTCCTCCTTCACCCTTCCCCTCTCCGCGCCCTCCCCTACAGATGTACCACCCTGGCGAGCGCGCCTCTCATGCTGCATACATGGACTCCTACAGCCCCTCGCTCCCGTCCGTGCCTCTCGGGTAACCACCCAACGCAATTCACCCATGCTGCTTTGCGCCGCTGATATCACATTCTCAATTCGCTCAAGTCTTGCCGTTGCATGCCCTGCCCTCGCTGCTCTTTCTCCTGATTGGTCTTGCGAGGACCCCTGCCCTGCCCATTCTCACTTTGAACTCTGCACCCTCGCATTCTGTTTTGAGAATTCTCAAAAGTGACCCCCTCTCACTCTAGACTCTGCTCCCTCACATGCTGTTGCTGCTTTCCTACCTGCCTCTCCTGCCTTCCGGTCCTGCCTTCCCGTGCTGTCTGTCTGAATTGTGTGTGGCAGGTCGCGGTATGATCCCCATCGCTACGACCACCACCAGCTAGAACATGCCACGGACTCATTACCTTTCCTGCCTCTTCTATCTGTCTGTGCTGCCTGCCTGTGTTGTGTGTGCGTGTGTGCGTGCGTTGTTGTGTGTGGCAGGTCGCGGTATGATCCCCGTCGCTACGACCACCACCAGCTAGAACATGCCATGGCCTCATTACCTTTCCTGCCTCTTCTATCTGTCTGTGCTGCCTGCCTGTGTTGTGTGTGCGTGTGTGCATGTGTTGTTGTGTGTGGCAGGTCGCGGTATGATCCCCATCGCTACAACCACCACCAGCTAGAACATGCCATGACCACAATGGCTGGTCTGCATGACGAGGGTGAGTGGGAATGCCATGCCATGCCATGCCGTGCCATGCCATTCCATGCGGTTCCATGCCATGCCATGCCATGCCATGCCATGCCATGCCATGCCATGCCATGCCATGCCATGCAATGGGATGCGACACATTCCATAACAACTCGCTGTTAATCATGACCCGTTCCCCTTTTGACTTTTGAGTCGACTCAGAAGTCAACTTGATGTAACACCTGCCATCGCAGTGCGCCAACAGCCAGCAACCATTACCCTTTCGCCCCTCCTCCTATCACAGGTCGTCACTTTGGGTGGCACACAGAAGAAGGGGAGGGAGAACGAGGAGGAGTAGGAGGCAGAGAAGGAAGAGAAGGGAGAGATGTGACAAGTGCAGGCGTGGGCGTGGAGAGAAGGGGTGGAGGAGGAGGAGCAAGGGGAGGAGTTTCCTATCCTCCTGATCCTTCTGAACCTTCCTTTTCTCCTTATCCCTCAGACCCTTCCCGTCCCTCTCCTTCCTCCCGTCCCCCCAACCCGCCGGCCCATGCACATGCCTCTGGCTGCCCCTACCTTGCTGCCGCAGCAGCTGCTGCACACTCGGGTGCTCCCCCTTCCTCTTCCCGCTCCCCCGCTCCTCCTCCTGCCTTCGCCCATCCACTCTTTCCTGGCTCTTCCCACAATCATTCCGTCCCACAACACCAGCGCCATCACCAGCAGCAGCAGCAGCAGCAGCAGCAGCGGCCGCATTTGCCCCACCCCATGCACCACCATCCTGCGTCCGGGGGGTTTGCTGGTTCAAACTCGGGGCAGGAAATGGAGTGGGAGGCCTGGGAGCACGCACATCCTGCCACTAGATCATGGTGGCACGAGGGTTTCCCCCCTCCCCGCATGCAGCAGGAGCCATTTCCCCCTCCCCGCATGCAGCATCAGGAGATTTTCCCCTCCTCGGGCCTGTATGAGGAGACCTTTCTGCTTTCCGGCCTGTATCAGGAGAGTTTTCCTCCTTCCCACCTGGAGCAGCAGGAGGACGGGCGAAGGGTAAGAATGTGGGAGGGCAGGCCCATGGGCAGAGGGATGCATGAAGAGGGTGACTATAACGAATGGATGAGGGGAATGAGGGAGCGGGAGTTCGGCCCTGCTCCTTCCCCTCGCCCTCCCCGCCCCCTTCCCCCTCCTCCTCCTCCTTTTGCTGCCTCAGACCCCTCCTTCCCCCAACCCCGTCACCACCGCGCCATGCGTCCCTCGCCTCTCCCTTCGCCGTCTCAAATCCCCTCTCCAAGACCCTCCCGCATGCACCCGCTGCCGCAGCCTCGCCAGACTAATCACCCACCGTCCTCTGGTGCTGCAACGATCTATGGGGGGGGGCCTGGTGCAGCAAGCTCTCCTCTCCCTTCGCCTTCTCAAATCCCCTCTCCAAGATCCTCCCGCATGCACCCGCTGCCGCAGCCTCGCCAGGGCAATCACCCTCCACCACCACCACCTCGCATCCCCCAAACACACCCCTTGGGCCCCCGCCAAGTACCTCCCCCACACCATGTGCCACCGCACCTCCAAGCACACCCCTTGGGCCACCAGCAGGGATCAGAAAATCCCTTGTCACGTCACCAGGGCAGTTACGGGCAGTCTCGTATGCCTCCTGATGGTGGGGTTGGTGGTGGTGGGGGAAGCTATGGTGTAGGGCGCGGGGGAGAGAGTGCGCGTGGGGAGCGGAGGTGGGGAGGAGGAGGTGAGGCGGGAGGGAGGGGATGGGGATCAGAGGGAGCGGCAGGATTGAGTGGTGCTTCTGCTGGTGCTGCTGGTAATGGTGCTGCTGCTGCCTCTTCTGCTGTCGGTGGTGGTGGCAACGTCAGTGGTGGTGCTGCTGCTACTGGTGGCAGCGGCGTGGGTGCGGTGAACTGGCAGCGGGAGGAAAATTCATCAAGCCTACGCACTGCCGGTTCTGCTGCACCCGCTGCTGATCCCACCGCCCCGCCTCCCCTCTCTGCTACGACTGCCGCCCCCTGGTTATCCCGCATGCGCTCCTCCCAGCACCCAGAACGGTTCACAGGCGGCCCTCCCTTCGCCTCCTCTGATTTCCCCCGGGACTCCAGAGTTCCTCTCGCTTCTGCTTCTGCCGTGGGGAGTGGTGGTGGCGGCGCTGGTGCTGCTGCTGCTGTTGCTGGTGGCCGTGCAGGTGCAGGGTGGATGGCACAAGGCCAAGTCGCGGCATCATCACCATCACCATCGCCATCATCGTCGTTGTTTGAGCGCCAGGGCAACGAGGTTAGTGTGGGAGTGCTAGTGGTGCGGTTGGTGCCCGTGTAGGTGGGAGGTGGATCACATGGAGCCAAGGCGTGGCATCATCATCATCACTATCGCCATTTTTGTCGCTGTTTGAGCGTGAGGGCAAACGGATTGAGTGAAAGTGCTGAGTTGTTAGAGCGTGAGGACAACGAGGCGAGTGAGAGTGCTGAGTGACATGCCAAGGGCGTGTTACTGGTGACATGTGACAAACATGTGACAGACATGTCACAACAATGTTCGGCTCCACGTCAATGACGAACCGAAAAGCAAGGTTATTGAATAATACACATTTGGTACGTTTCTTAAGAGCTGCGTTTTTTTAAGGATGCCCTTGCCAGGCAAGTCTGCTATTCGTCCACCCACTTTGCATCGTAGTACCAGGCACCTGACATCCGAAAACCCGTGTGATCTGTTTTAGATCACGCCTTCAATGAAATTTGTACTTCATAACACGTTTTCAACAAGAGTGCTCGCGCGCCATTGTTACAACTGCTTTCAAAGGCATCAGCGGTTAGTCAAACGATTCACGCAATGCGTTGCATTTCGAGTGCCATTCGATTCGTGTCACACGATTTTCATGAGTGTCGAGTGTTTATACATCATGTTGACAGCATCATCTTGGACTCTCGAGGTGCCATTCTCGCTTATGGTCAAACGAGCAGCGGCAAAACCTGTACCATGAAAGAAAATGTCATACCGCTCTCCATCAAACAGGTGTTAGATCACATCGAGAAAGTGGTAACAAATTCTCACGAAGTTTTGAGCTAAAATGCTAAACTGGTTACATGAAGTATGCAGTTTAGCCCAGGATTGCGTGAGGCTATTATGTTGATTTGTTATCTTTCTCGATGTGGCCGAAGACCTGTTTGATGAAGAGGGGGATGACGCCTTCCTTTATGGTAAAAGTCTTGCCGTTGCTCGTTTGACCATAAGCGAGAATGACACCTAGAGGGTCCAAGATGGTGCTGTCAACATGATGTTTAAACACTCGAAACTCATGAAAATCGTGTTACACGAATCGAATGGCACTCGAAATGCAGTCAATTGCGTGAATCGTTTGACTAACCGTTGATGCCTTTGAGAGCAGTGCTCTTGTTGAAAATTGTTCTGAAGTACAACTTTCATTAAAGGCATGACCTGAAACAGCTCACACGAGTTTCCGGATGTCAGGTACCTGGTACTACGACGCAAAGACGTGTGGATGAATAGCAGACTTGCCTGACAATGGCATACTTATTGAATGTGTTATTTCTTTAATAACCTTGCTTTTCGGTTCGCCATTACGTGGAGCCGAGCATGTCAAGGGCGTGATACTGGTGTGCCGAGCCTGCAATACCACATCCCCATTCCTCATGTGAGAGAGGATGTCAAGGGCGTGTTACTAGTGTGATGGTCATGTGAAGTCGCTTTTGAGAAGTCGCAAATCTGAACTGAGGAATGGGGCGTGTTACTGGTTTGCCGGTCATGAAATACTCACATCCCCATCTCTCAACTTGCTCTTTCTTTCATCATCCTCTTTTCTCCTCGGTGCCCTCTCCTGTTCCCACTGCTTCCCCCCCTCTCCCTCCCCCCTTGCCAGTACCGCTGTCTGCTCTGCCCGTCCTCTTCCTCTGCCTCCATCACCACCGCGCACCTCTCCCTCCTCCCACACCGCCCGCTCTTCCTGGACATTATTCGTCTGAGGGATCACATGCTGCTCAGCCATGGGGTCGACCCGCTCCCCGCCCACATGCCATTAGCCCTGCTTTGACTCGCTCTGACCTGCTCTGACTTTCTCTGACCTGCCTGCCCGTCTGCACCGCACAGCACCGCAGTCCCATCCTCTCTCACCACACCGCTCCCTCTTCTCCTACATCCCTCGCTTACAACACCGCATTCTGCTTAGCCATGACATCAACCCATTCCCTAAACACGCCCCTCTGGCCCTGCTCTGACCTGCCTGCCTGCCCGCCCTTCTCCACCGCGCTGCACCGCTCTGGCTTCACTCTGACCGGAATCTCCTGAATGGTGTCTGACCGGAATCTCCTGCTACATTGCTGAGCATGGCCCCATCTCATGGCTGCCGAAAGGTGTCTGCTTTTCCTCGTATACACCACAGTCCACCACGCTGCACCGCTCTGGCTTCACTTTGATCGGGATTCGGATGATGGTGGTCCCTATGCCTGCCGGATTGCTGAGCATGGCATGGCCTCTCGCCCCATGCCCGCCAATGGCCGTTCAGCGTACCTCATATACGCTGCTCTCCACCGCGCAACACCTTCCCAGTTTCGCTCAACACTTGGGGTGTAAGGAAAGGGCTTGTAGTGAGTGAGTGACTCCTTTTCGTTTCCTAGCAATAATCGACCTCTGCTCTGCGCCATACTTTGTGGACTGTGTTGTGTACGGTACCTTTCAGCTTCTATGCATGCCATACTACACTACACCTCTCCTGGTGATGTCTTTCCAAGTTTCTTGTACTAAATTGACTCTTCTACACCTCAATCTGTTCATAGTGTATGAGTATCCAACTATATCATTGTGTACTGCACTTGACAGCTGCTTATCATTCTGTGCATTACCATGAAGGGACAGGTGTGAAACATAGACAATGAGTACGCAGTGGAGTTGAATGGAGTGGAGTGGAATGGAGTGAAGGCAACGACTGCAGCGCATATGATTGAGGTGCATTGCTGCAGCTACATGAGCACTCATCTCATGTCTCTCTCCCTGCTGCTTCATTGCACAAGTTGCTAGAGGTTCGTGTCATGTGGATCAACCCTAAAGCTGCAAACCCGCGAGCAATGACTTTGCCAAGCAGACAGACGGGCTCCATTCCATTCCAAGCCAGCCAATCAGTACCAAGTCCAGGTAGTGGAAGGATCGTACCGTACAAAAACCCCATAGCAACTTGGGGGACAGCGGGAGAGCTTGCTCCTAGTGCTTTGTAACGCGGGCACAGGGTACATTTGACCTCATAGCGACATTCATAGCAACACACAAGATGCATAAATTACTGCCTAAGTTACAGTGTTACCTTGCCCTTACTGTTCCACCCCAGAGTATGTCAGCAGTTCCACTCCACAGGAAGCACCTTGAGCCCTCTAACAACCCTGGGTGCCACTGTAAAGGGTACAGCCCCCTCCTCCTCCACCGCTGCTGCTCCCTCCTTCAACCGCCCTATGTTAGAGCGTTGCCGTGCCCTTACTGTTCCTCCTCAGCCTATCAACAACACCACCACTCCACAGGAAACACCTTGAGCCCTCTGACAACCCTGGGTGCCACTGTAAAGGGTACAGCCCCTCCCTCCTCCACCGCTGCTGCTGCCTCCTTCAACCTCCCTTCTAGCTCTGCCTGCCTGTCCCCACCTCCCCCCAGCACCACCCCTTACTGCACTGCCAGCATCATATTGCTTTGTCTGAACTGCTCCCCCCAAGCCTCGTATATCAACAGCACCACTCCACAGGAAGCACCTTGAGCCCTCTAACAACCCTGGGTGCCACTGTAAAGGGTACAGCCCCCTCCTCCTCCACCGCTGCTGCTGCCTCCTTCAAACGCCCTTCTAGCTCTGCCTGCCTGTCCCCACCACCTCCCTCCAACACCACCCCGCGCTGCACTACCAGGGTCATATTGCCCTGGGAGGGGGTTGTTGTAGTGAAGGCTATGCCACTCTGCTGGGCTGTGTGGGGTTCGGCTGGGTGAAGCAGGGAGGAGCTGTAGGGCGGGAGGGGGGACAGGGAGACAGGTGCAGAGGGAGAGAAAGGTGGTTATTGTGAAGGCTGCAACTTTTTAGTCGGCTCACGTGATAACCGCTCTCCCTCTCTCGCGCCATTTCCCCCAGCACCACCCCGCGCTGCACTACCAGGGTCATATTGCCCTGGGAGGGGGTTGTTGTAGTGAAGGCTATGCCACTCTGCCGGGCTGTGTGGGGTTCGGCTGGGTGAAGAAGGGAGGAGCTGTAGGGCGGGAGGGGGGACAGGGAGACAGGTGCAGAGGGAGAGAAAGGTGGTTATTGTGAAGGCTGCAACTTTTGAGTCGGCTCACGCGATAGCCGCTCTCCCTCTCTCGCGCCATTTCCCCCAGCACCACCCCGCGCTGCACTACCAGGGTCATATTGCCCTGGGAGGGGGTTGTTGTCGTGAATGCAATGCCACTAGGTGAGAGGAGGGCAGAACTGTGGGGGGGAGAAGGGAGGGAAGGGAGGGAAGGGAGGGAAGGAGGGAAGGGAGGGAAGGGAGAGAAGGGAGGGAAGGGAGGGAAGGGGACGGGAGAGAAGGGAAGGGAGTGATGAAGAGAGAGCACTACCAGGGTCATATTGCCCTGGGAGGGGGTTGTTGTAGTGAATGCAATGCCGCTAGGAGGGAAGAGGGCAGAACTGTGGGGGGGAGAAGGGAGGGAAGGGAGGGAAGGGAGGGAAGGGAGGGGAAGGAGGAGAGGGGAGTGAGGAAGGGAGAGCACTACCAGCGTCATACTGCCCTGGGAGGGGGTTGTTGTCGTGAAGGCAATGCCGATGGGAGGGAGGAGGGAAGAGCTGTGTTGGGGTAAAGGGAGGGGAGGGAGGGAAGGGAGGGAAGGGAGGGGAGTGAGGAAGAGAGAGCACTACCAGGGTCATATTGCCCTGGGAGGGGGTTGTTGTCGTGAAGGCAATGCCGCTGGGAGGGAGGAGGGAAGAGCTGTGTTGGGGTAAAGGGAGGGGAGGGAGGGAAGGGAGAGAAGGGAGGGGAGTGAGGAAGAGAGAGCACTACCAGGGTCATATTGCCCTGGGAGGGGGTTGTTGTCGTGAAGGCAATGCCGCTAGAGGGGAGCCCTCTGCGTGCCCTCATCTGCACCGCACACCCATCCCCACATCGACCGTCATGTAAAGCAGCTATCAGTTGAACTCCAGTCAGCCCGCTCTGTGCTCACCTGTACGCCCGGCATGGAATGAATCCTCCTGCCTCTCTGCGTGCTCTTGCCCGCCCCATCCATCCCCATAAGTTGAACCCAACTCGTTCAGCCCAACTTGGCCCTCGCCTGTACGCCCGGCAGATGGCGTGAATCCTCCTCTTCCCTCTCTGCGTGCTCTCATCTGCCCATCCGTCTCCAAATCGACCCGTCACTCGCTCCCACAGGGATTGTTGTGGCACGTCCGTCTGTGAACCCAACCCAGCCCTCACCTGTACGCCCGGCAGATGGCGTGAGTCCTCTTCCCTCTCTGTGTGCTCCCATCCGCCCACCCATCTCCGAAGCGAAGCGACCTCTCCCTCTCTCCCACAGGGATGGCAGAGCAGCCTACCCCTCTGCATCTGAACCCAACTCAGTGCTCACCTGTAGGCTCGGCAAATTTTATAGATCCTTCTCCCTCTTTGCGTGCTCTCATCCGCCCATCCGTCCCCAAATCGACCCGTCACCCGCTCCCACAGGGATGGCGGTGGCACGTCTGCATGCACGTTCATCTGGTAGGGTGGAGAGGGGTGGAGTGGAGTGGAGTGGAGTGGAGTGGAGTGGAGTGGAGTGGAGTGGAGTTGAGTGGAGTGGAGTGGAGTGGAGTGCAGTGTGGAAGGAAATGTTCGTCTGGGAGGAGATGGATGGGTGAAAAAAATCAACAAATCTATCTACATTCAACCCTTACGAGATTGCTTGAAACAACCCACACACCTACCTCTTTTCCCACGATCACCACCAATGTGCCTTGCACCAAATGCAACACCAACTACATTCACAGGTGCACACACCTGCCTGCCCCCTCTCTCTCACCACCCTCACTCACCCTCACCACGCTCAATCACTCTCACCACACTCACTCACTCTAACCACGCTCAATCACTCTCACCACACTCACTCACTCTAACCACGCTCAATCACTCTCACCACACTCACTCACTCTAACCACGCTCAATCACTCTCACCACACTCACTCACTCTAACCACGCTCAATCACTCTCACCACACTCACTCACTCTAACCACGCTCAATCACTCTCACCACACTCATTCACTCTAACCACGCTCAATCACTCTCACCACACTCACTCACTCTAACCACGCTCAATCACTCTCACCACACTCACTCACTCTAACCACGCTCAATCACTCTCACCACACTCACTCACTCTAACCACGCTCAATCACTCTCACCACACTCACTCACTCTAACCACGCTCAATCACTCTCACCACACTCACTCACTCTAACCACGCTCAATCACTCTCACCACACTCACTCACTCTAACCACGCTCAATCACTCTCACCACACTCACTCACTCTAACCACGCTCAATCACTCTCACCACACTCACTCACTCTAACCACGCTCAATCACTCTAACCACACTCACTCACTCTAACCACGCTCAATCACGCTAACCACACTCACTCACCCTCACCACGCTCAATCACTCTAACCACGCTCAATCACTCTAACCACGCTCAATCACTCTAACCACGCTCAATCACTCTAACCACGCTCAATCACTCTAACCACGCTCAATCACTCTAACCACGCTCAATCACTCTAACCACGCTCAATCACTCTAACCACGCTCAATCACTCTAACCACGCTCAATCACTCTAACCACGCTCAATCACTCTAACCACGCTCAATCACTCTAACCACGCTCAATCACTCTAACCACGCTCAATCACTCTAACCACGCTCAATCACTCTAACCACGCTCAATCACTCTAACCACGCTCAATCACTCAACCACGCTCAATCACTCTAACCACGCTCAATCACTCTAACCACGCTCAATCACTCTAACCACGCTCAATCACTCTAACCACGCTCAATCAC